TAGTATAATAAAAGAAAAATAGAAGAGAAAGAAAAGTATACCAATTAGGCTTGAGGGTAAAATAATAGTTCGTACGTAGGATAGTTATAAAAATACGTATATCTATAGTAGGGGCCGGCTTTAGTAAAGAGGAGGGGATAGCCGAAGTAACCTTAGAATTAAATAGGGGGGAAAAGTTAATAAATTCGTCGGGGGAAGAATTAATAAATATAATTATAAAAGTAGAATTATAAGGAAGAAGAAAGAGGAATAAAGAAGGGAGGAGGAAGAGAATATTATATAAATAATAAAAAAAGTCCTTATATAAATACAAATTAGAGTAAACGAATATAAAGCAAAGTAGGGTAAAAGAAATTGTAAATAATAGAATAATTAAATAAAAAAGAATAAAAAAAAGGAGGGGAGGTAAATACAAATAGTAAGGAAAGGAAAATAGAATAAATGAGTAATAATTATAAATATTAGAAGGTAGGAAGGAAAGAGGTAGAAGGAAAATATATAATCGGAAGTAAATATTATATATTATAAAAGTAAAGTTCGGATAGAAAGTATAATAATAGAATTAGGCCTAGAGAAAAAAAAGAAGTAAAATAATCGGAGGGAGAGACTTAATAATCTAAAAATATTAGTAAACGGTTAAGAGGCGTAGGTATATTAAAGGCGTAAGAGTTTTAAAGAATAAAGTAAAGAGTATTGTAAAGAAAAAAGGTATTAACGCTAAGAATTAGAATAAAGAATTAAAAATTCCGGAGATAGAACTTATAAGGGGGGGGGTTATATTAGGATACTAAAGGACTACCGCCTTAGGCACCGGGAACTGGCTGGTATAAGTATAAAAGGAAATTCGGGACCGCTAGGGATAAAATACTATAATACTATAATATTAATATTCTCTATCGTTTTATTAAACTCTTATTTAAGAGTATTAAAACGACCGATACCTCCTCTCGCCTTACTAACTTCGAACTTAGGAATATTAGGATATTCAATAAGATAAAGTTATAAAGGGGACGCTCCAGCGCTGTATTGTAGCGGTACGCTAATCGGGAACTCTATAATTACCAGCTATATCGGAGTAGAATTTATATAAATATAAAAGTAGTCCGAATAGGCGTCCTTTATTATAATCGGTAGCTATTAATATAGTTTTGAATTAATTCCTAGCTTAACGTCCTCTATACATAGCCGCGATTATAGTTACCTCAACCTACCTTTTCCTTACATCCTAACATAATATAAGGTTATAAAAAAAAGAGTATATAATCTTTCGAGATATAATTCTGTATATAATAAAAGTTACCCCTATAGTAGTAGTAAGTAATAAAGACGTTATAGAAATATAAATACAAATTTAAAGAAATAAATATACTATTTGTACTATCCTTAAACACTTTATTTAATTGAAATTGTAGTTTTTGTAGAAAGGTAATTATCGAGTGTTAGTATTAAGATAGGATATTTCTTACACACATTAAGCACTTTCGTCTAAGCTGTATATAGATATAATTCTAATATTATACTATTTGGCCCTGTGGGTCCAAAACGACTGCGCCACGGGGTGGCGGGGAAGTGGATAGAGGCTAACTAAGGTTGAACGTTTATTATAAGAGACTAATTCTCTTACTACCTTAGGCTACAAGGCACTACTACTAGAGCGCACGGCTATTTAAACTCTAGTACCTAACCCACCTAGAGGGTAGCGTTTTCTCCTTTCTTTCTTTGTAGAACTTTAATATATATATAGTGGCTAATACCCGCGTATCGCTCTACTATCCACTTACAGTTTGTTAAATTCCAGCTTAGTAAGCTTACTTTATAGAAAGGTGTGCCTGTTCTATTTTTATATAATTTATACTTTAAATGTAGTATATATAATAGTATTATATTAGTAATAATTAAAATAGGTAAATAAGTAATTATGGGAAGGACTTTAGGAGGATCCTTTGTAGGCGAGTTAAAGATAACTCCTTATATTATATTAGTAATTAAGAATAACGAATAAATATATAGGTTAAAGCGTACATAGTTTCTAATATATCTTTGCTTCTTTAGAATTATGAATAAGAGTTAGGGTTAGTTCTTTTACTACATAAGTATTAATTTATAGAATTATATTTTTAGTTATAGGTAGTTTTACGTAGTTATAAGTAGGGTTATTGTACTATAGTACGTTTTGATACTTTTATATAAAGCTTAGACTAAGGAGGATAAGTTTCTATATAATATAGTGTAGTTAGAAGTATTAGTATACGGGTCTTTATATACTCTTGTCTATTTTTTTTTTATATTTATACTTTTTAATAATTTTATTTTATATTTAATTTTACATTATATTTATACTTTATACTTATTCTTACTTTATATTCAGCCTTATATCCTTCTTTATTACTATAAGGTAGTCTACTCGTACTATTTAAAAGGTCTTACCGGACTATACTCTACCTACTCCTAACTAGTAGAAGTATTCTTTCGAAAATTTCGCTTAGAATCCCTACAAAATCTAGGTATTACATTCTTTCATAACCTAGTATATAACGGTCCAAACTTATACTCTATTATAGCGCACTTTATAAAGTATTTAGCGGTGTAGTCGTATATTATATCTAATTAAGTAATTCAATTGTATAATTTGATTGAATAATTATTCTATTATATTCAATCCGCGCCACTACGGTTGTATACGTATTGAGTCACAGCATCGGCTATCTACATTACAGTTAGCTAGGAAAATATATTAAAAAGTAATGTACTAATCTATACTATCAATAATAGCGATGCGCGATGTAGTGGATTGATTGAGGTAGCTACTAACTATAGTACAATAGGTATAATAGGTTGAAATTTGGGAGTTTGGCAGGTACGGTACGAGCGGGACTAGTGCGGGTTGGTAGTGGGTGTGTAGGGTTGAGTTAGACGTGGGGAAAAAGGTGGGGTACAGTCCAGTAAGACGTTTCCAATAGTACGAGTAGACTACCTTATTATTATTTATATATATATTAGTCTTTTCTCAATCGATTATTTGTATATTATATTATATTTATAGGTAGATATATAGAGTAAGAAAGTAACTGTAATTAATAAATCTATTATATAAAGGTAGATACTCTGATTATTTCTAACTACAAACTAGAAATTCTATATACTTTCTATAAATTCTATATACTTTCTATAATCTAACCTTTATATCCACCAAGATTTCTCTAGCGCCCTTTTTACATTTATAGTAGTTTTAAAGGTAGTAGCTATAACTAAAAATTGATTAGTTATAATATTAAATTATATCCTATTTATTATTCTCGGAATAGGGTGGAGGGGAGGGGGGGGGGGGGGCTAGGAACCCGTATAGTATCTTTATAAGAGCGAATATAATACTATACTAAAGGTAATTATAGAAGGGAGTGCTAGTTTTAATTATATAGAAAAATATATAAAGGATATTTATAGGGTAGTTAGAATAGTAGCTATTTATATAGTAAAGGTAGAATAAACTTTACTAGTACTATTTAAATGTACTTTTTTAGCCGCGGCCGGGCTTTCCATAACCTTTTCACCATTTATAATATACTTTCTAGAGTTGCAGGAGGTCGTAGAAGGTGTATACTTAATATCATTCGGATATTATATACCCCTGCCATTATAATAGTAATTATTATATATTTTTAAAGTAATATTATTTATTCTATAGCACTTTTTAAAAGTTCTACGCAACGTACAAGTACTGTACGGAATTTTATAACCTACAACTATAATTAATTATGTTTTAATATAGAGATTATAATTGAATATAATTTTAATACTCTAAATACTAAGGGCTGAACTTCTAAATATAAAATTACGTATAGCTTATAGGGTAGAAGGGTTAGCCTTACGGAAATAAAAATATTTAAAAGGAGTATACAGTAATTATTTATAAATATATTTAAAAGCTTAGTAATACTCCAGCTTATTCTTTTACCCTCTTACTATTTATGAGTATCGTAGATAATATCCATCCCAGCGATCTTAATATTATATAATTTATAGTCTTTCAATACCTTTATACAATTATTTACCGATTATACTACAGGTAGGATAGGGTTAGAGAGAATTATAGTAGGACTAGTAAATTCTTATATAATAATAAAGAAATCCTATATAGAGAGCGGCAGGTTTATATAAGATTCTTTAATATTTTTAGACTCTATACTAATAGGAGTAGTAAATACTACTTAGTCATTTTTTTTTAATCGTATTACGAACCTTAAGTTTAAAGGGTATTATAATATTAAAGTAAGAACTATTGGAAAGGTGTATCAATATACTAAGAAAAATTACGCGCGTATTTAGAATGTACTTACTATATTAATAATAAGTACATATAGGGTAGATTCGAATTAGTAAAGGTGTATAGGATTTTTAAAGATTAGGAGAGGTAGTAGTTAGTAGTAGTTATATTGTAAAATAAAAGGATTTGAAAGTAGTTTGGATCATTTTAGCTATATTCGTTTGTGTGTGGAGTGTGTGTGCACGGGCTACAACCTAGAATCCAGCTCTACACGGGCCACATCCCAGAATCCAGCTCTGCACGTAACAACCCAGAATCCAGCCTTGCACCCATACGGAAGGGCCGCGGCTTGCCGCCCCGAACACTAGTGCTGTTCAGACGGAATCAGATCGCCTTGCCTCTATCTCTCCTGTCAAAGGACGACGTCCTCACAACAACAAAAGGGGTACAGCTGTTCACGACTAAGCAATGGCTACCCCCATCAAGATAAGACTAAACGGACTGGACATGGTGGTTGATGCGGTACCGCTTGAACTGGAAGCGTTTAAGCCATTTGGTGATGCGGTTGCCAATCCACAACCCAACCTCCACCCTGCCATGGCCGCAAAGGCCAACGACACGGCAGGCATGCCCTTCGATGCCATTGTCGCCAACCAGGGGACGGCAATCAAGTACCAGCACGTTTCACGGATAGAAAACCTCTACGACCAGGCACCGAGCGGCCGAACCGGAGTGGCCGTTTCCAACATGTTTACGTGTGCATCACGGGCGCTCCCTCGGCGACTCGAAGCCGGGGTCGAGCGGGAAGTCTTCCCGGTCACCGTCCTCGAGCGCCATCCGTTTACCAGTCAAACATTTGTCCCACTCCGTGCCGATCCACAAAGTCGATACTTGGTCGTTGTCGCCCCAAGCCTCTCGCCGAGTGCCCAAGACCAACAGCTGCCAGTTCCCTCCTCGCGGCCTCCTGGCACGATCGCTAATCGAGAGTTGCCGGGTCGAGGGCTACCCGACCTAAAGGGCCTCCGTGCTTTCATCGCCACTACGGACCAGGCTGTAACCTACGGGGCAGGCACGTGGCACTCCCCAATGGTGGCCCTTGGCCCAGCTGACAAGGCGATTGATTTCTTCGTTTTCCAGTTCGCCAACGAGGTCTCCGTGGAAGACTGTCAAGAGGTTTTGTTTGGTCCGTCCACTGTCACGATCCGCCTTCAACCTCAATCGAGAGCGAGTAAACTGTAATTAAAGAGCGCATTGCTGTGTGGGAACACCATTGCCTTGATGGTTACATGCAACTAGCAGGCCGGCGGCCAGTGCAATCATTGTGGCATGGCTTGCTTGACTTGACCTGCTGTCCGGAGTTCGGTGTTGGACGGCCCATGTGGCGGCTGATAATCACCACCAGCCTTATGCACAATAGTCTCATTCACTCAGCCTGCCCACTTGATCCTTTTAAATGGGAGTTTGAATGCATGGAATTGGTGGGGTATTAGTAAGTAGAGGTAGTAATCAAGTGTCTCGGTGTTTCGCGGATGGTACTTGGTGTTGTAGTATTTACGAATGATCTACCTTGGTGTACTAAAAAGGGTTTGTAAAGCTGAAGATACCTAGGTTTTGGAAGGAGTGCCCAATAGTACTGTATCGACCGTTTATGACATATGTTGTCCTTTCAGTCAATCAAGCAGTACCGACCACTAAACAAAAGGGCCGGCACAGGTTCAACATTACACACCTACTCACCGTGCAGTTTGGGCACTCGGCTGGAAAAAAACCTGCATTCGTCATCTGCTTCGGCCCCTTTCGTCCTAGCAAACACACAATGAAGCCCGTGATCGAATCAGTCGATGCAATAAGCAAGCTGGAACACCTCTCTGGTGTCAAGATCAGACCAGGAGAGAACCCATACGATGCCCTCATACAAATTTGCAATGACCATCCCGTAGGTGCCTCGGTTGATGCTCTCTCCCTCCATGCCAGGGCGAAAAGTTGCGGGTGTTTGAAGCTCTACTCACCGCTCAGCGCTCAACGTCCAGGCCGAGATACAATCGTTGTATGCCAGTCATCGACTGACACGGAACCTCCAACAAGAACAGCAGTTCTTGTCAGCCGACTTCAAGGAGCTGATTGTCGACCCTGTATTATTTCGGCTCGAAAGACCGTCGGTCCAGCCTGGATTCCGAGACCCACGACACTGTCTTGTCGTCTGGGCAAGACCACCAGAGCACATTTTGAAACTGGCTTCCCATTTGCAAACCCTTCTCCAGAAGGCGGCTCCTAGTGCGTCAGCCACTCTCCCTTGCTGCTTGCCCCGGGTCTGCGCGTATCGTGGAATGACTGATGGGGTGCGACCTAGATTTATGGCTCATGCCTACACACCGTATGCACATGACGACACTTGAGCTGGCGCACTCGCAGACCTCGGACGAAATTGCGAGCCTTTTGTCGTCGATACGACCGGCGATACCGCTGTTGACGAACCTGACGTTTCTGCATCGGGTCCGGTTGGTGAGACCCATGATATCCTATGATCTCTCGGCCATTGCCGTGTCGTTCGTCCCGGCAGCCGAGGAGCATGACGGGTACACGTACCACCATCTCCGCAGAGACCTGTTCGAGGCAGTGAAGAAGACCGGGGTTGAGGTCAGGTCGAGGTACGTGGTTCCTAGCGCTCATATCACGCTCGGGCGATTTCTCGACCAAGAGGATCACGCAACACCTCTGGCGCGGCAAAGCTGGATTCGGGGGATTGAAGAGATCAATGAATGGCTGGAGACCCAAGTGTGGGACGCTGTCGACGGCGAGTTCATGGGCGAGTGGATTGTCGGTCAGGAGAAGGGGCTTGAAGTGCGGGACGGCACGCTATGGTATGGAGGTGGTCGCACCATCATGGCAGGAGAAGGATTCTAAGTTGACTCATGTTGGAACGGCTGGGACTGTTGGTAATACTACCTATACTTTGTTTCGGTTCCCCGTCCTCACTGTACCATGTTGTTGGCTGTTATGGTGCATAGTTGGTGCACAGTGGACAAAGTTTATGCTGCTGAGGTAGCGAGCGATCTCCATCTAAACCGACCTTGTCTACTATATGCCTCCCAAAGCCGTGTTATGGTTTGTTGTACGGCTGCCATATCTACCATCCATATTTGCCGACTCCATTGCCCATGCAATCAACACCAGATTCTCATCTCGAGTTTGGACTTGGTGTCATTCATGACGTTGCTGGGGTGGACCTCGTCACTGCTGCCAAGGGTGGAGACGTAGTGCCGTACCTAGGTACCTAGGCAGCTAGGCTCGTCCCTAGTTCTGTATTGCCCAGTATGTGTACATACCCGCCTAACCCCGTCCTGCTGTGCCCCTAAACCCCCACACCACCCCCCCTCCCCCCCCCCCCCAAAAAAAGCTTCAGTACCCTGGCTCGCCTGGGCCGACGAGAATACCTCTGGAAGGGTCCAAGGCGGGCAGGATTCAGGTCAGATTCCACGCAGGAGAGCGGCTCTGCCATATTGGATACATGGTATGATGCATTGCCAACCTGCATTCGTCTGGCCCTGAGGTGTGTCTACCTGCGGTCCATCGATACGATACTCGCCGCCGACGTCGCTGTCGACGTCTCCAAGTCCCATCCTCGAGGGGCTCCAGCCTGAACAGCGGAGCAAGACGAGGCCGGCGCTGTTGTCCTATTTCCAGATGGTTTGCGACGTCGCATTCCCCTTCGTTTCTGCATTGAACACAAGTCTCCCGGCCAGGACTTGCTCGTGGGACCACGGTTGCGGCAGCAATGGAAGGGAGGCACCCGGTTGTGCTGGGAAGTGCTGGAGGCAGCGGTAGCGGTCGTGGTGACAGAGGTGTAGGGAGCCAACCAAGTCCCGGCCTACAGGGCCCCAGTGACCGTGACCGCAACCGTACCTCTAGCCATGATCGCACCTCCGTCCCTGTCCTTGCGGACGCTTCAGCATTCTCCCGAGACGGCGGAGTCACCGCGCCGCTTTCGGTACCTGACCGCTCGGTTCAGAACACAGCGCAGGACTCGGCCACGATCACGGTCAAGGCCGCGGTCAAGGCCACGACCCTCCCTTTTGCTGTCGAGTCCGCCCCTGTGCTTGCTCTGGCCAAAATGCCAGCTAGCTTCTCCTCACTCTCACTAGCACCCTCGCCCTCCCCCTCCCCCTCACCCTCACCCTCACCTTCACCTTCATTCACAGCCACAGCCACAACCACATTCACCCCCACCGACAACGGCAGCAGCAGCGGCAGCGGTAATGATAATTTCCGCCCCGCCGCCCGCCCTGCCGCCACCGTCAGAGCCGCCACCCCGGAGCCGGCTGAGGTTACGTTCGATATGTCTGCACCCAGCGGCAATGCGAACTCCGCAGCCCTGCCACAGCGGCCCGGATCATTTCCCTCCATCTCTCCCGAAACTTCGCCCCGGTCCATGCCCGGTGCTGCCGGCCCTGTGATGAGTAAGACGGCGCCTGCACCCATTCCGGTTGGCAGCCCATCTGGTCCCGTCACTGCAACTCCGTCTAGCCTCCCCACGCGACGCCAGGGCATGGTGTTTGGAGAGGGTCTGGCCGGCTCTCTCGACAGCGCCTCGTCAAGTCCACCGTCACGGCCGTCCTTGTCGAATTTTCGCCCCAGGACCCATACTTTGGACAGTGCCTTCCGGCAGCAACTTGTGACCGAGAACCGTCACCGCATCGGTTCAGTCTCATCGTCCGGCTCGGTGGCTGTCGTAGATGACTTGAGGCCTCTGCCCCAGCCGCACTTCAACTCGTATGGGTCGCCGGACACTCACCACATGGCAGCTGCGGCTGGACACAAGGAGAGAAAACTGTCAACGGCGAGGACCCGGCTCACCAAAAAACCTGCCGCCTCCCAACCACCTTCTCCCTTCTCATCACCTCAGCCGTCAGTTGACTCCTTGCCGTTGCCTGTCCCTACGCGGGATGCCAACAATGTCTTGCTCTTGATGAAAAACCTGTGCGGAAGGATGCGCGGAGAGGCCCAGTACCTGAAAGACATGGGAGGCCTATGGTATGGTGGTATATGTTATATAGATGAGGAGAAGGGGAGCTTAGTGAGCGACTCGGGAGAGGGTAGCTCTTCTTCTTCTATCTCCCTTTTGATACCGGATCTTCGTGGATGTCGTGTACTTCCGCTCAGTCGGATGGAGAGAGGCGGCCGGCCGTCGCTGGAGATCACCAGTCCACATCTCAATCTCAGCATCATCTTGTGCCCTTCAGCGGTAGAAGAGTATGATCTGTGGCTGGCTGCCCTGCTGTGTTGGCAGCAGCTGCGGCCTTCCGGCACCAAGAACACCATGACAAGATCAGGGAGCAGCGTTGCTCTGCCACCGCTGAGGAGCGAGATGCAGCGTCGGGCCTCCTCTTCCGGCCTACGGGAGGCTACCGTCATCAAGGTCGGCAGAGTGATGCTATGGGACAAAGGCCTCGCCACCTCCCCACGGGCCATTGTCAAACGTCCCTCTGCGCGAGACTTGCAAATACCGCACATGGCCTGGAAACGTGTTTCTTGCATACTGTCAGACAACGGCGAACTCAAACTCATGACAGAGCACGATGTCTCGCTTCTGGCCATGATCGAATTGTCTCAGCTGTCCAGGTCAGCTATACAGCAACTGGACAAGACAGTGCTAAACGAAAACTACTGTATAGGTATCTTCCCCATCTACTCCCCTACCTCCACTCAACTGTCAATTTTGCGCCCAGTATATATATCGCTGGAGTCTAGGCTGCTTTTCGAGGCTTGGTTCGCCCTTCTCAGAGCCTTTGCGGTGCCTGATCTATATGGGCTCGATCCAACAAGCCGAGGACGTGTATACGAGGTGACCAACCTCAACTCAGCACCCAAAGGAGAAGTTTTCAGAGTCGAAAAAACAGTCAAGGTTAGAGTCACCGAGGCAAGGCTACGGAGCCGAACATTTGCTCAAGAGGGAAACCTGATGGAGCGCCAAAACAAAAGTATTGCAGACCCAGACCCTGCCGTCGGTAATTACTTCGCCGAGGTCATACTGGATGGCGAGGTTCGAGGCCGGACATCAATCAAATTCAACACCAAGAACCCCTTTTGGCGAGAGGATTGCGAATTTACGGATCTTCCTCCCTCCTTACCTTACCTATCGGTGGTTCTAAAACGGATCGTGGGCAATCCCGAAAGCTTCAGTCACCAGCTTCAGGCTACTCTTGGCTTGCCCAAAACAGGCCAGCTGAGCGAGGCGTTGTGCGGTGCTGTCGACATCCCTTTGCATCTTCTGGAGCGTGGAAAAGATCATGAGCAGTGGCTCCAGGTGTATGACGTACGACAGCAGTCGATTGGAACAATGCTTCTCAAGGTGCACCATGAAGAGGTCGTCGTGTTGCAATCCAGAGAATATCAGCCTCTCTCGGAGATCCTACACCGCTTTGGGTCAGGGCTGACGACACAAATAGCTGACGTGATGCCTGGAAACCTACGGAAGCTCGCAGAAATATTCGTCAATATATTCCAGGTTTCTGGAAAGGCAACAGAGTGGCTGGTGACCTTGGTAGAAGAAGAAATTGACGCGATAGGGAGCCAAACTGCCAGCAAGCAATCGCGGTTCAACCAGCGGCTGATGTCAAATGACTCGATCGCTTCCACGGACAAAATGTGGCAGACGGTTCAGGACATGAGCAGGACGCTCCCGGGCGAGGCGAGCTTGCTGTTCAGGGGAAACTCATTGTTGACGCAGGCCTTTGAAATTTACATGCGACGCTTAGGCAAAGAATATCTGGAGGAGACTCTGGCAGAAAAGATACGTGACATCAACGAGCTCGACCTTGATTGCGAAGTTGACCCGAGTAGGATGCAGAACGGCGATGATATTCAACAACATTGGGCGAAGCTAATTGAGCTGACCAGCGCTGTCTGGCGCTGTATCGCATCGTCCGCGCATCGTTTGCCGTCGGAGATCCGTCACGTACTGAAATATATACGGGCTGTTGCAGAGGATCGCTATGGCCACTTTCACCGCACTGCTACTGCAGTTTATACTTCGGTGTCCGGATTTCTCTTCCTCCGCTTCCTCTGCCCAGCTATCCTTAACCCAAAACTTTTCGGCCTCTTGCGCGACCACCCCAAACCGCGTGCACAACGCACCCTGACTCTCATCGCCAAGACCATCCAGGCTCTAGCCAACCTCAACATCTCCAGCAAGAAGGAGACATGGATGGAGCCAATGACCGAGTTTCTCCAAAAACAGCGCCAGCCATTCAAGGATTTTGCTGACGCCGTGTGCGCCATTCCGGCCGAAAGTACCAGCACCAGCGTGCCTGCTCCCTACTCGACCCCCCTAACGATTCTGGGCCGCTTATCACCCCTCGCTCGCGAGGGTTTCCCTTCGCTCCCATACCTGGTCGATCATGCGCGTAACTTTGCGGCTTTAGCCAAACTGTGGGCTAAAGTCCATCCCGAGTCAGACTGGGACTCTTCCAACTGCGAAGGCGACCTACTTCATTTCCATCGTCTATGCACTACGCTCCACCAACGCGCAATGCATTGCTTCGCGCAGATGGAGACTCGCCGAAGCGCTGGTGAAACTACCAGCAGGCCACCGGATGAGCGGCTTCGTCTCTCTGATGCACTGGACAACTTGAGTTATGGCGATGTCCTCGGTTTGTCTGCGCACGGCAACGCTACTGGGATCTTTTGGATAGACGGTGGGAGCATAGCGCCCGGCTCCTCAGGTAGTGAGATGGATGGGCCTGTTATAGGAGGTGGCAGCAGCAGCAGCAGCAGTATTAGCAGCAGGGACATAAGGAACGCCTCGAGCGCTATACGGCAAGGTTCTAAGAGTAGCGAGCAGCTGTCGTCCATGTCGGGCGGAAGTGTGAAGGGGCTGCGCAATGGAATGCAGGCACCACGAAAATTCCTTACTGGATTTATTCGCAAGACAAGAACGGCTTCACCCGAGTTTGGCAACGGAGGTAGTCCTGGTCACGGGTTCATCACGGGGACAATGGTGCCTGAAGCAGGCAGTACGTCGGCAGTTGCATCGGCATCTGCCACTGCTGCAGGTAAAGAGAATGGCCGAGAGCGGGACCGAGGCGCGGAACGAGAGAAAGACAGTAAAGAAAAGCATCCAGGCAAAGACGCCAGGGCGTCTTCAGGTAAATCCCAAGGGGATCGCCATCACACGGCTCACCAACACTGGCACGAGAAGGGAATTTGAAATGACTTGATTTCGAAGCACCAATGGTTGTTGGCACATGCTTGCTTTGGAAGGCTTTGGAAACCCGGGTCTGAGAATGGGGGCAACGGCTCCCGTACAAAGGGACGTACATTGACGATTATGCCTACGATATGGAATGCGAGTCTTCAGACAGGGTATCAGACTGAGCGCTCATTCTTTTCTCTATTCTTCCCCAAATAATTCTAGTTTAGCTGTTTGATCACTGTCTTTAGCAACGATCATGATGATCATGGCCCATTCTTTGAGGGCATGCTGGCTATTGACATGGCGGACTATCCGGCAGCACCAACCGCCGAATACGTACCTATGCCTCCAGATCTGAATCGGAGGGGTCGAGGTTGTCTGTTGTTGCTGGGGATGCGTCACGGAGGAAAACTGCTGTGCCTACAAAAGCGGTGAAGTGGCCTAAAAACACATTCTATTCCGTGAGGCTATGAAGACTCTGGTGACTGGTCGAAACACACTGCCTTTAAGAGTCCATGTTCCAGCCTTGACACAGCTTGAACTCCCCAAACGCCAATGTGGATATCATTAGGTGTTGTATGTAATTGGACCTTGATGCCAACCCGCTCAATGCCGATAACTCCTTTTGTAGATACCCTCTAATCCGAGGAGCACTTCAACCACACACAAACGTTCAAAATAATTTCAAGTCGCCATTGCCTCAACTTAATTAGGAGAAGAACTTTTTGTAGGCAGCCTTTTCCTTCGCCATTCTAGCCGCGGCAGCCTTCTTGACAGCGGCCAGCTCGTTAACAATGGCGCCATCTTCAGGCGCTAGCTTCTTGGCCTCCTCCAGACTCGTCAGGGCGCTGTCCTCGTCCTTGATGCGCACCTGGGCGTAACCCCTACGGTATAGAGCCTTGGCCCTGTCCTTGTCTGAGATAGTGGCAACAGCAAGTGCGCTGTCAGCGCTGCGAATGCACTCGTCCCAAGCGCTCAGCTTCATGTTCATGAGAGCCGCGTTGCTGTTCAGCGAGACGCGCAGGGCGTCCAGCTTTTGCTTTGTGTCAGCCGGCTCATTGTCAAGCTCGGGATCCTCGTTCAGATAGCGCAGACCCTTCTGGTATTTGTCGAGGGCCATAGGGAGGTCGCCGGCCTTGAAAGCCATGTTACCAAAGTCCTTGCAGTCTGTCGCAATCTTGAGGATCTTGGAGGCAGAGAGAGGCTGGCCGTCAGTGGCTTCGTCCTCGGGGAAGTCCTCGTATTCGTCGCCGTAGGCGTCGGCAGTCTTTGTGTCAGCGCTCACAGCAGCGTCGCCACTAAGCTCGCCGCAGTCGGCAATGACGGCGTCCTTGGTCGGCTTGTCGCCCTGGGTCTTCAGGTTCTCAATTTGTCTGACGACTGACTTGCCGCTCAGTACCTCGCCAAAGACGACGTGTTTGCCATCGAGATGTGGGGTAGGAACGGTGGTGACGAAGAACTGAGAGCCGTTGGTACCTGCAGGACATAAGCGTCAGTAAAAGACCGGAACCGCAAAGTGATGGCCGTCAGTTAAACGACATTGCAACATACCGGGTCCAGCGTTGGCCATGGATAGGAGGAATGGACGGTCGTGCTTCAACTGGAAATTTTCGTCCTCGAACTTTGCGCCGTAGATAGATTCGCCACCAGTGCCGTTTCCAGCGGTGAAGTCACCACCCTGGATCATGAACTGCTTGATGACACGGTGGAACGTGGAACCCTTGTAGTGTAGCGGCTTGCCCAACTTGCCAACACCCTTCTCGCCGGTGCACAAAGCGCGGAAGTTCTCGGCCGTCTTAGGGACAATGTCATTATAAAGCTCGAAAACAATACGGCCGGCTGCCTTCCCGCCGATGGTGATGTCGAAAAAGACGCGGCTGCGAGCCTGCTTGACGTCGTCGGTAGAAGACATGGTTGGCTTGAATCTAGGAATCAGGATTTCAAGAGATCTTGGTACGAGTCTAAGTTGTACGTAAACTAAACGAGCTCGGTTAGCATATATAGCTCAGACAACTACGGTGGAAGCAAATTGTTTGTTCATGGCACAAATCGTAAACAGGGAGGGAGGAAGATGGCAAACAGTTTGGAAGTCGTGATGTCCACAGAGCGAGCGCAAATAGAAGCTTACTTACCTGTCCAAACCAGCTACTATTCTGACTATGACGAAGGAACTGGGTTTGTAGGCGGACAATATGTAGCACAACTGCACGTTGCGAACAAGACTGCACAAAGGGCGTCTGGTAGACTGGTTGAAATAAGTATGGGAGTCGCTATCGGTGATGATTTCGTCCCAGGGTTCAACAGGCTGGGTGCAGGGCGGGGTGAATTGGTTTCGTGAACATTCGAGAATGGTGGGGCAACGATGTGCTTTAGCTCCCGTCCCATTTCCCTCTTCTCGTCTGATATCCGCTTTGTACCCAAAGGTACCTAATTCCACTCGCTAAGGCATACAAGTACGGAGCAGGTACTTTACTTGCAGCGGCAGCGGCTAAAGCAGCCGAGGCTCCACCAGTAGTATTTTCAAGATGCAACCCGTAGGGGTCCATACCCGACACTATGTAGTGTAAAGGCAGATGCCGCAGTGTAGAGATTAGAGCGGGAAGGGTACCTCTACATCTCTTGTGGGCTGTGGCATCGAAGAAGAACAGCGATATGCGGCAAGTACACTGGTCCGAGCACACTTTTAGAACCCAACTATCAACCTCTAAACTCTACTTACGTCTAGCAGATCATCTTCCCGGCTCTACATTTGGCAATTACATCGACCCCTTCTTAGGTCCATCTCGCAATCCTCAACCACTCCATTACCTAGACTTGATTAGTCATGCCAGGCACCTTGTCTGCCGTCGCTTGGTCGTTTTCCACGGCCCCTTGTTGTGGCTGCTTTTGCTGCTTCTGGTTAAGCTTTCGGTCTTCCTTCTTCTTCTTCTGCTGCTGCTGCTGCTGCGCTGCCGGCGTGGCCGATACCTCGAGGGTAACCTACTGTCATGTTAATAAGGCCCTTGGCATACTAGTGCAGTGTTGGAGTGCTCACCGGTCCATCATTAACCAAGGCAACCTGCATCATAGCCTGGAAAACACCATTCTTAACCTTTCCTGCTTTATAGCCTTCCTGAACCTTCTTGTAAAACAGGTCATACAAGGTCTTGGCCTCATCGGGGCCTAGGGCTCCGTGGAAGTCGGGCTTGCTGCCCTTCTTGGTGGAAGCAAGCAAGGTGAACTGAGAGACTACATCATATTAGTCTTGCAGTGAGAGTTTAGCCAACCCGGCAAGATATCACCCACCACACAATACCTCGCCGCCGATGTCTTGGACACTCTTCTTCCACTGTGGTTTGCCGGCCGTTAGAAATAGTTCCCTCAGTCCATGCGTATTGTGTGAGCAAGTGTCGTACCCGGCCTCCTGATTCATCATCCCACAGTTTCAACTTGATTACTTTGGATGCCAAAGCCTCAGCCTCCTTTACCGTGTCGCCGGGAGCAACAGCCGCCAAAACGAGAATGCCTTGGCCAATAGAGGAAACCAATTGGTTGTCGACCGTGACAGAGGCTGAGAGCACGCGCTGGAGAATTGCTGCATGTGCTACGTTAGTCATCTATGCACGCAATGAACAACTTGAGAGGCGGGAATTTGGCTATACGGACCCTTCATTTTCCGTTTTTCTGTTCCGATGTGAATGGAACGGTTAGCTGGTGAATTTTTTGATCGATAAATATGCAAAGACCCATGAGGTGAAGACTCGGTCTTTCAATGCCTCCATCACGGCGAACAGCGCTCCCGTCCCATCTCCACAAAAATGGCCTTGAAGAACCAGCGCTGCTGCAGAGTGCCTCAATACCAGGTCACTACAGCGCCTGCCTGCCCGCTGGGTGTCTACCTCCAGGGGGTAGAAGTACCCTTGCCCCCGCCGGGCACCTTCCATACCTCTACGTTGTATTACAATTCTGGCAGTGGTAGGTGTGCTACCTTCCATTTTTACAGCCAGAACAGGAAGAGAGGCCCAAGGAAGGACCCCCCAAGCAGTTCTGTATCGTAGTACACCCGCACCACCTACGGACAGGGCAGGCAGACCTACAGTGGACAGTAATACTCAAGGTCAGTAACAGCCTCGGCAGGATCGCCATACCTCTCTCTACCTATCATCTCTCTTCGCCGAATCTGCAAAACCAGGGCAAACCTCCGGTCCTGATTCTCTCCCAAACCACAAATCCGTCTCGGATCATTTATCGACGACAACGACGCCGACCACGCCAGGCAATCACCAAACTGGGGATCGCCATCGAGCACCACCGCCACCACATTGACATCAACATCCGTACTACTACTTCTCCTCCTCCTCCTCCTCCTCCTCCTCCTCCTACTACTACTACTACTCCTACTACTACTACTACCGTTACTCCTTAATCAGAGGTGATTCAGTCCACCCGTTGCCTGTTGCCGTTGCCGTTGCCCGTTGCCCGTGACGCCCTCTGTCCGGTTGGCCTCGCGACAGCTGGTAGCCTCGGCGCATTGCCCAAACAACATACCTCTACATAATATTCATTGATTCACCATCCAGTGGCACACAAGTCCAAGTCCCATTCAAGTCGATCTCGCTTGGTCCCGCCAGCTAACCGAGGAAGCTTCCGAAAATCAGCTCGCCTCACGTCGTCTCCCCTTCCGGCGACGGCTCAACGCCCTGAGAACGTCGCCTAGCGCTACTGTCACAGTAGCCCCGTAGCTTCTAGTCGCGTGGGGCCTAAACATCCCGAAATCATCACACCAACACATTGCACCACCGGCGCCCACCCCGCACCCACCGCCCACTCCGACATCTCATCCTGTATTTGAGTCTGCGAGAAACAGTCTGACACGATGGCGGCCCGAAAGCTCGCGCAAGAAGTTGACAAGTGTTTTAAGAAGGTGGCAGAAGGCGTGCAGGAGTTCGAGGCCATCTACGAAAAGATTGAGCAATCCAACAACCCCGCGCAAAAGGACAAGCTTGAGGACAATCTGAAACGAGAAATCAAGAAGCTGCAAAGGCTTCGAGACCAGATCAAGACATGGGCCGCAAGCAACGACATCAAGGACAAGGCTCCTTTACTTGAGCATAGGCGCCTGATAGAGACGGTTCGTATCCCTGCTGGTTGCTGAGCATGGACTTTCCTCCGTGTGGCGCCGTGAACACCCCAAAGCTCACCGGTATTTCTAGCAAATGGAAAAGTTTAAGGCCGTAGAAAAGGCCATGAAGACCAAAGCGTATTCCAAGGAAGGCCTGTCGGCTGCGGCGAAGCTAGACCCCAAAGAGCAAGCCAAGTTGGAAGCAGGCGAATTCCTCAGCCAAATGGTCGACGAGCTCGAACAGCAGATTGAAACTCTCGAGGCCGAGAGTGAGTCAATACAAGCCACCATGAAGAGGGGCAAGGGACATGGCGCCAAGGCCGACCGGATAAGCGAAATCGAGCGCATCATTGAACGACACAAATGGCATCAGGGGAAGCTGGAGCTAATTCGGCGATCTTTGGAGAACGGCGGCGTCGAGACCGAGCAAGTGAACGAGCTGGAAGAAAGCATCAGATACTACGTTACCGATGGCATGAATGAGGATTTCATGGACGACGAGGGTATTTACGATGACCTGAACCTGGAAGAAGAAGAGGATGCCTACGGAATGAATGTCGACAACGACAAGGGATCCTCACAGGATGCCCAGTCGATCCAGGACGAGCCCGAGCCCGAGCCCAAGCCGGCGAGCGTACCGGCGGCGAAACAACGTACCCCGGCTGATACAGTTGCAGCATCATCGATACGACGCTCTTCTGCGCAGTTGAAGTCGCCACTACCGACGTTGGCGACGGTCCACAACAATACAATGCCAAGCATTAGCAATACACCGGCGAGCAATGTGTCCATGAAACCGGCATCACTGCCCACGAGGCCGGCCGAGGGCCTAAAATATGCCAGTGCAGCAGCCGCGGCAGCCGCCAGCGATAAGAGTGGTGTGGGAATCGCGCCCCTGCCCCCGCCGCCAACAACCAACTCATCGCTACCGGCATCACAACACGTCAAGACCAGCGCAGCAAACTCCCCTAGCGTTGCAACGGTGCAGCCTGTTGCCCAGGAGAGGATAGTAAATGTGGTACCCCCGGCTGTTGGCGGGTCGGTTACAAATACTCCGGTACCGAGCAAGACTGAACCGGCCAAGAACGTGTCTTCTCGTGACAAGGTATCGGCACCAGTCCCAGCTGCCACAGCAACGACTTCCAAAGCAACACCGGAACCAGAAGCCGTGAAGACCCAGCCCAAAGGTCGGAATAGTCCGCATCCATGTCGGAGCTCGGGTACTAACATGTGTATAGTGCCCCAAACAAACGGTGCAAGCAATGGTATCAAGCCCATCGAAGAAGTGGAAGAAGAGGAGTCGATTTACCATCTACCAGCGTCCTTGCAGGACCTGGTCGAGTCATATGAGGTTACCAAGAAGTGCCCAGCATCTGTGGATGCACTTGCCACGCAGAGGATGCATGCGGCGGCGGTAGCGAACAAGCCGAGTGCTCTCGACACTGAGCTACCACGACCCTACTACCCCGATGTTAGGTACCACACGCACAACCAGTTCCCGCAGGAGCCCCTGGCCATATTCGAAGACCCCCGTCTCTACCAGCGGATTGATCCGGACACCCTCTTTTACGTTTTTTACTACAAACAGGGAACCTACCAGCAGTACCTCGCCGCCAAGGCACTGAAAGACCAAAGTTGGAGGTTTCACAAACAGTACCAGACGTGGTTCCAGCGACACGAAGAACCAAAATCGATCACGGAGGAATTCGAACAAGGAACCTATCGTTTCTTTGACTACGAGAGCACATGGTATGGCATAGCCCCATAATGAAGCGCCCCTGACCCCATGGTTAACACCCACATCCAGGATGAATCGCAGGAAGGCCGACTTCAAATTTACCTACAAGTTCCTTGAGGACGAAGTATGAGGAGATCTTGCTACGCGTGGCCCGGGATAAAGCTGGCGTGCTCATCGCTTAGGTTTGCCATCGTCAGTGCTATAACCGTGGTAAGAGCATTTGCGCACAACCGGGGTGCTCGCTTTTCCTTGAGCTTGGGAATAGGGATATGATAGGTTATGGCAGGCTTTGGCGCGAATTGTAAGCTTGTAACCCATCTTCGGTGAAGCCTACCGACTTCTTGGTATTCCGAGGTGGAGCGTCATTAGCTTTTGGTGATCACAGTACAGCGGTACAAGCTTTCATCTACCACGTCAGCGTCACCTTACCCTCCTTGATAGATTCAGGCTTGTAATTCTTTCTTGTGTGAATCAAGGCTCATCGGTTCGCTGTCTACCTGTCGTTTGGGAGACTTTGAGCTCGGGATTTGCTGGGAACTAGATCTTTCCAAGCACTTCTGTCTGCAAAGAAATAAGAGGTAGCACATTGCCTCAACTGCCGAGCTACAAAGGTGTAGAAGCTTTGAAAGGGGGGATACAGCCCCGGAGCGTAAGAGTGTACCTGGTTTAGGGTAAAGGTTGTTTTTTTGGCCATCAAAACCTCCAAAGATGATCATGCAACCGCCCCGTGAATGATAATGGGGCAGAGACTCGAGTTACTCTACGACGGACTAGCCAGTTATCAGTCTAGACAAATCTCAATAAGACAAGAGGCAACCGTTCCATATCTGGAGAACAAAGCCAACCTAGTCATTTGGGCACTGGACTGGCACTATCTCTTTACCTATGTCGTGCAATATGTGTTACTCGGACATGCCGACGCTTGCGTCAAGCCGCACCATTCCTGCACTTTGAATATCCCTCATTGAGTGAATGAAATGGATGGCGCCCTGATATTACAGCCTTGTTATGTTAACTGCACTGATGGCTGGCATGGCACCCACAATCGACACCCGTTGATATTCGACTTTTCTACCTTAATGTCGTGCAGGAAGGACACTTGCTGTCGAAAAAGGAATGCCACAAGTGGGCGGATTGTCATGTGGAGGCTCAGCCGCTGCCAAACGGAAAGTACAGATCTGAAGGGTACCTGCTTACTATATAATGGTGAAGATATCTTTCCTCTTGTTGTGTACCTACTGTATGTGGTAATCGGCGACAGCTACTAAGTATGGTAGTAAGCACACTTGCTTCGCCATATTGCTGCGAATAGGAACTGCCCTATTGGTGATGGTCTCGGTGATTTGCATCTCTGACGTCGCTCTGCTTTCCGAATGGTACGAGAACATGGACAATGTACTGCTAAACGACTATCGATTGTCAGGTCACAGATGGGAGTTACCGTTAAGTGTACAATACATGAGGAGCCAGTCTTTGACTTCGTGATACTGGACATATATGGCTGCAACGAATGGCTGCAACGGACAGGGCTTTTGTCTAAACCTCCTCATATCTTTCATCTGAACGCGCCAGACTCTGTTTTCCCTTTCGCTTTGGCAGCAGTGTGGGCACATCTCCTTGGCCTACCTAGTGACCACACACTCCGATAACCATTCAGAGAGCCTTGTCGACCATATTATCCACCGCCACTTACGGGAAAAGGCTGCTAACAGCCTACGCAATGAAGCAAGAGTATCGTTAGGACAAAATGATCCGTGATTTGAAGTAGCTGAGTTCGGTACGGGCACTCTCAGTCATGTTCCTCTAGGTCGTATCTGGGTGTAAGTTGGGAAGACAAGGGCAGCCTTCTCAAATTGGGTTAACCAGGTCTTGTAGAACGCCGACGCCTCAGGCTCCGTAGGACTAGGTTAAAGGATGGATTATGGCAGTGCAATGCATGTCCAGGTCAGCACCCGCTCGTATTGTTGATTCAACGGTGAGTGCGTGGTAATTGATAGTCCCGCTTCACTTCAAACAGGCCGCATGAAAGCCATGGCTGTTATCTGTAAGCTGGTAGAAAGGAGGATTCAGCCCATTTTCTACACATATTTGAATCCCTTAGGCAAGCTTCACCTAGCTTTGTGGGTCGTAATTTTCTAATCCTCTCTCATACCACCACTGCCTGCGAAGTCAAGTTGCTTCGCCCATCTCTTCACTCAAATCGGATTATCTTTCAAGAAATATCAGCATCACCGTGTATCAGCTTACCTAAAAACAGAAGCCCGACCACAATCGAGTATTCACTTGTACCGCGCACAGGTTGGAATTATTCCACAAGGGACTTGCAGACATGGACTACGCTGATCTTCGATATACTCCGGGCTCAAAGGGTCTGGAGGTTTGGATCAGTAGAATCTCATCTCAATCAGCATGAGAAGATCCGATAGCAGTGACTCAACTGCTACATACTCATCGGACAGTATCTCACCACCCAGCCCGCTGCAAGTATTCAACATGACGATCTCCGACATATTCGTGTGGCAAACCATGCTACAATGGCTGCCCAGTTTGCTTTGGACAACGAGTATCGGGATGAGACATTCATGCACTGCCTTCTGTCATCACTTCAGAATCGTGCAGTCCACGAGGCAATTCAGCGAGCCGAAGGTCGCCAACAGGAGTTTCCCGAGAGGGTAGGAGTGCAGGATGTTCTCACCAGGCAGCTTCACCATATGTTCAGCCGGCACGGCGTCAATTTTCCTCCCGTCAGCGTGATATTTCAAAAGGCTGCCCATCAGCTCCTCCTGCACCTAAAGGGCTTCGATGTCCTTCAGCGATGCTGTCTCGCCGTTGCCGTGGTGCTTGAGAGTGTTCAAGCGAAGCTGGAACAAGCGTCGAGTCGGTAAGTGCAGCACCCTAGCCCCTGATCTGATATGCCGGCGTTATGCAGCCACCGTGACAAACATGAATGTGGTGACCGCAAACTGACCCTGGCTGTTTGAAATAGATCAATTCCAGTGAGGAAAAGAAACACACGCTCTCATCCTGAGCCTTCAGCCGGGCCGCCGACCTAAAGAGACACAGGCAAACTCATCTTTTAGGCAACATGAAGAAGAAGTATCGGTGCAACTACATGAAATGTCTGCGGCACCAAGAGGCGTTTGTACGGGACGATCATTTCGGCCACCATCCACGAAGCTTCCACAGGGACGACCTGACACGACGCGGCAGGCAAGAGGAGCAGGACTGGTGGCCGACACTTGCGAAGAGCGCCGTGATGAGCGGGTGGTGGCGCTGCAACAAGCGTCTTTTGAGGAAAGTAAAGATCAGGCAGCATGGGTGGGCGTGCCCTACATGTTCAACACACTGCGAGACACAGAGGAGGCAGTTCGGCAGTCGATGATGAGTGAAAATAATAATGAAAGGAACCAGGGTGCTAGATGAGGGTGAATGAGAGTAGATACGGGCCATGGGCTCAATGTATCATGCCTTCCGGTTTGCTTTCATGTTGCAGGGGAAACTTGTGGTGAATGGCTGTCACAGGATATGACCGGCATTGTGGTTTACGGAACTGCCTCTCGTTTCGGGCACTGGTGGCTTCCGACATTGCCCCCCCATTGTGCTGTTCGCTGGCCATTGTGGAGGACTTCCAACCGATGTCCAAGGCTATAATCTCCAAGCGGAGGCTGGGCCATTGACAAGCTTATCGATATGCCTTGTGCAATGTCAGTCCTCGAGAGACTCTGCCTCACAACACCATGTGACACCGCCCTCTCTTCATTTCAGCAAGCATTGCGTAGACTCGGGGAGTTGCAAGTGCGCCTGATGATACTTCTATCCAATCCAGCATATCCCGGATGAAACTTTGTCAACGAAAGATGATGGCACGAAGACGACTCGATCGTTGCGGTCGTGACCTTCGATTACACAATCGAGATCGATGCTTGGCAACGCGTTGTGCTTTCAGCCCATACCCTGTGCCTACCTACGCAGTCTGGAGTAGCTTATCTCCGAAACTGGCGAAGGAGTCCCGAGTTGTCCGAAGCTCCTCCGGCAGCCCGGCTGAATTATGTACACATTATGTAGCATAATTCCACGCAGTAGTCTAGCGTGCGGTAGATGAAGCCTGCGCCAAGAATTTCGAGTCAAAGAACGACCGCCAACTTTCATAAACAGCTGAACTGAAAGCAAAACAAAAACCACCCCCAGGCCCTGTGCATTGAGACTCGGACATCCAACTTCCTCTGATGCCTTTCTTGTTCAAAACAAGAAATCTGGAAAACGGTCTCCTGTCGACCGTAGAAGGCTCTGCATTGGCTACCCACAACTTAGCAGTGGCAGTTGGCGATATCGGAACATGTTGCTTCGAACCTGACTCAAGTCCGCAGCGAGTCGGTACGGTGAGCGTGTGAGTGTAGCTTCCTACTGGCTTTGCGTGGTTTTTATCAGATCCATCATCTCCGTTGAGCCAGCAAGGGCCCCACATTGACGAGCGCTCCCCGTGTTACGCCATTCGCTGGCACATTTTGAAATCTGAGCCGTGAGGCCGTGAAAGCCTGTGTGCCTGTTTATTGGTAATACATGATGGCATGAGCCGGAACTACAGGACGGCGCATCCCAAGGCTGAAGCCTGTTGATTCTGGGTACTTTAGTATTGTGGTGAAGTCTGCATAAGCCTGCCCTCATCGATGTCGTTGTCGTCGTCCTTGGTTCCAGATGATCCGGAATCCGGAAGCCACACACCCCTGTAACCATATGCCTGACCATGGCAGCGGTTCCGGCATACATACGCTACCAAAGGTCGCCCGGTGTAAATGGGAACCGAAGGGCGAAGGCGGTGTTCCTTGCAGGCTGAGTGGCCATTGAGCCAATGGAAAGCCGTCTAATGGACGGCGGTCCGCTCTGCTAGGACACAATGTTCCTGCACTCTTCCCCGGCCGAAGGCGGTGCGATGGGCCCGCCAAGATTGCGATAGGATAAAAGGCCAAAAGGGTGTGGTGTTGGACGTTGGTGTTGGCGAAAAGTGGTGCAAGCGGTGGTGGCGGCATGGACACTGCTGTTTCACGCGGTTTCACGGTCGAAGGGATCAATGATGGTGATGATTTGTCCCTGGACATTTCCTCCACACGCCTTTTTTTTGGGCAACCATTTAAACCATGCCTTTTCGGGTGCGCAAA